GGCAGCTTCGGAAAGGCAAGAAAACTGTCGTCCAGCAACACTTTATTGCCACACAGCGCGCAGTTCAACATTTTCAACGGCGTTTTTTGAAATACTTCTCCGTGTTACTGATATCGGGATTATGTGTGCTATCACTTCCAAGGCAGACTGTCGCAGCTCTTTCATTCTCCATAGATATAGAATTGGATTCACTGTCGAGTTCAAAAGAACTATCGTCAAAGTTGCTGTGGTTGCTTTATCCAAGTACTGTGTTCTTCCATAAATGATTCGAACCAAAACTACGATCCAGGCTGGAATATACGCCACCAATAAAGCGCAAAATATGATAAACATACTGTTGACGGACTCACGGTACCGCGAGACTGTGAGGGCGTCGACTCGTCTCAAAGACTTGTGTTGCGCTGGATTTTTGAAGCACTTTTGTTTTCGGCGAAGAATGAAGTAGATTTTGATAAACGACAAGGAAGAGATTACCAAGCAGATGGGTAAAATTGTCAGTATGAGAAGAAAATAGACTTTGTGCATCCAGATGAAGGTTAAACCCCATGGAAGGGCAACTAATCGAACAAGTATTGCGATAAAAAGACAGCGTTTTAGGGTTACTACAGTGCGATAACGCAGCTTGAAATGGAGTGCCATGAATCGGTCAAGGCTGATAAACATTACGCTAAAAAACGACGTAATGGAAAGATGGCCAGACAAAATATCAAACAGCACGCCACTCACACATCTGGTTAAGACGTCCGAAGAAAGAGTTTTTACGGCGTATAATGGCTGTGCAAGTAATCCGACACCAAGATCCGTGAAAGCGAGGCTTCCGAGAAGTACTTTGGTCGGTATTGCTATGGAAGATGTCTTGCGGATTGCTAGTAATATCAAAATATTCCCCAGAATTGCAGGAAGGATGGCTGTAATGTTGACAATCGCTGTAGAAATGTCAAGAATGGCTGTCTCTTCGGGAATGGTTTTGGACTTGCAAACCAAAACACTTCGAAATGTAAGACTGCGGTAAAGGTAGTCTTCGTCTTCGCTCGATGAAGCCATAATGTCTGCACCAGTCTTAATTGTTTGTCCAATACTTATTACGATAATAACCAGAGCGGATGTGTTTTTCCTTAAAGTAATAAAAATGTATATCTTCTACAATTTCCTGGAACTCTTAACACAAGCTATCTACATCACCAACAATATGGTTTAAATTAAACTGACTCAGTTGCAAGTTTAGTTTGCAGTATCTTAACACTCACGCAGCTAAACTATTAAAATTTCTAAATGTACAAAAGTGGCTTCGCATTATGTACTTTTTGTTTAAACAAATACGCAAGCTGTTTTAACTAAGGAACAACCATGAAACTCATGGATGAAAAAGGAGTGTGTCTGTTCAAATATGTAAAAAAATTTCATGTACAGAAAATTTCAATATTTTACTGATAAAATCTGATATCATTTTCAAGGAGAGTTCCGTCGCTTTATCTTTTGAAAGAAAGAGAGAAGTTCTAAGAAGGAGAAAAAAATCTAAATTGCCAATTTACTTCTTTCATTCATCTTATTATTTTCCATTAAGACAAGTCAGTTTTCTTTATTTAATGGAGTGCCAAAGTAAATATCATCTTGAAATGGAACTTCGTTCATTTTCATCCTGCTTCTGTTATTTTACTTGATCTCAGCTATTTGTGATATTTTAGAGTGCAAGCATCAATTTTAAATATATGATTATTTCGAAGTAAAGAAACTGATATGAAAGCCCCGACAACTTTTTGGACCCAAAATCAGATGATATTTCTTGGCAGTAGGGTTAGGGTTAGGGTTAGGGTTAGGGTACCGCCTCTGTATTTTGTTGTGGCACTATTAATGAAGGTAGGAAAGGTTTTAACCAAGGAGTCATTTCATACTTAGTAGGTGGAGCAGGAGTTTGCGGGTTAGTGGAACGTTTATGAACTGTAACGGTCAACATGGAGTCAGATAAAATGTTTCATTAATTTATTTTTGCCAGATCAATGATTATGTTTAAATGTATCCCGCTTGAGTTTTCTTTCTTCTTAGTCACCTGGTGGGAAAAACGAAGATGAAGATTGTTGTACGCAACGTTTAAGTTCAAGAACTCATTTATAAACTAAGTTATCATTTACAACTATAAGTCTATTAAGATTGTTGTTGCTAGTTTTATTTAGAACGTCGGGCAGCTTTGATTAACTGTAGTGGTTGCCTTTATGCATAAAGTTGCAGCCAGAAGCAGACTCTCGCTCGACTAAAAAAAGGGCCGTTTGCTTTTACTTAACCTCCCTTTGAGATTGGGGTGGGCGCGAAAAGCCCTGGGAACGAGGTTGGCTTTCCCTCATTAGTTGGCTAACCCTTTTTAACATGTACCAACTGAGAATAGGCCTGCTACGACAAATACGACCACAATATTCATTTCGTCGGTTTTCTTTCCAATTTCAATTTGGTAATCCCAGTGAGGTTCAACTGACAAAAGCCCTAATTTGTACAAGAAAGCAAAACCCTGGTGGTGGTGGTGGTGGTCGTTGTATTAGTGGTAGTGGTAGTGGTAGTAGCAGTAGTAGTAGCAGTAGCAGTAGCAGTGGTGGGAAAACGACGTCATCGTTTCAAATGGCCATTAACTGCCGACTTGATCGAAACTCGGCTGCAACGGGAAATGAGGGCAGCAAGAAATATAACAGTTAGTTACTTTCAACGATGTACGAGACTAAGGCTACCTCTCATCGGCCTCATGGTGACGTCAATATACTTTAGACACCAACTAATACTTATCTTTCAAAGAATAATGGCATTAAACATTCGCACTATACTACTGTGGTTGCAAGTTGCTTCTTAGGTTTCTGACTTCCTCTCATGGTCACTCTAAGTTTAGGAACAATTACTCTGAGTAACAAAGTGATTAAAATGATCAGAACCCTCATTCCCCTGTGCTTTGTTTTTTATAATTACCTGCGCGGTTCACCAAAGCACTTCGTACACATAATTGTCGTAATCTCTGCCAACTCCATTCCAACAGTTTGTGGACGGACCATGCAATTTGTAAGATTCTGTATCAGATACCCAACACTCGCCAAAAAACTGAATGGCAAAGAACTTCTTATTGGCTTTTTTGGCCGCTTCGTAGCACATGTGAACTAAATATGGAAATATTGAGAATTTTTTAATAATTATATTGCAAAATGTTGCTCAGTCGTTCGTTTGGGTAATAAGTGTCAAAGATGAAATAAACGATTGCATATAAAAATTAGGGGTCTCGCTTGTTTTATTTTCAGCACATTGAGAAGTCACATGTCATCTCAGAATAAGGGACTTTAAGGTCCTTTCACCTTCAGCTCCAACCTATTTTTCCTACTTTTAAGAAACTGGGTGACTTGGAAAGGACGCGAGCACTATTTTCACCAGTGACTTTACTGGTGGCGCCGTTGACATCGCAAGATTCCTATGAGGACAATCTGAAGGATGAGTGGGAATTGTGGGATTTGAAATGTCTTTTATGTCAGAAAAAAAAATCTGTGCGTACGTGTTTCGGCCGCGTGCTGCTACTTACCAGTCTTCTCCAAGTGAAACCAATCAATTTTTTGTCGGAAATTGGCCAATAGCTTCATGGTGCGTCCATCACCCACGTCACGCCAGCAACCGAGGTCACGCCACGGTGCAAATCGGTAAACATAGTTGTGAACTTCATCCCCAACGCCTACAATAACGTAAAGAAATCGATGGCCTTTGGCGAGATAAGTGCTTCAAAGTTTTTTAAAGCGGTTTGACGAGGAATCAAAATCTACTTGTGAGGGTGCAGTACGTGATCTGTATACTTACCCCAGGGGTATCCCCTATAATGGTTTATATGGGGAGGCTCCGCCCGAAAGGGGAACCTCTTCCAGACTTCAGGTTTATGAAAGAGTAGGGATTTCACTAGACTAGGTTTATGAGAAAAGAAGGGAAATCTGCTATTTTAGTCTGTAAAAAAGCCCACAGCTGCACTTTCTGGCTGTCAAAAAATCGAAAAAACTGAAGGTTTTTGTGGTTTGTTGATATTTTAAAGACATGCAGTACATTTACAGTAGTTTAAAAAGATACACAGTTCTAAAGTAGGTATGAGAAAGGAGTACCATTTGACATTAGAGGGTATAGGAAAGCGGACCTTTTCTGTCAAAAAAGGTGTATGTACAAAAGGGTGAAGGGTTTGGACCTCTGGGCGGAGCACCCCAGGCCTCCCTGATACTAACTCACCGTCTGTACATCCCTTTCCAGGGCCATGTTTATCATAGCTCGGTCGGAGTCTGTCATCACCCCAGCACTCCCCGTAAAACTGTACTCCAAAATATTTGTAACCTCGCACGAAAGCACGCTCTGCACACTTAGTGACCATCGATCGCATGTTCCACCAATCGATTTGTGATCTGAGGTTGGCGTAAAGCTTGTTCAAGGCTCGATCATCAGGTTTATCTTGGTAGCAGCCAACTTCAAGGATTTGAGGCAGACCTTGTTGTAAGCAGCTGACACCAGCGTCTCGACTGTGATCACAGCTGTTTTCTCCCCACCCTGAGTGGGGACAGTCCAACAACGTTTTCTCTTGTCCAGTGCACATCATCTTGCTAAGCCACACAGGGCCAGTCCCCTGGCCAAACTTTGCGCGGTTTGCCTATGGAATATATTTTAATTACTGACTGATTGATTTCCTCGTCATCTGTATAATGGAACATCTATTCCAGACGAGTTAAGAGGGTCAGGCCAACTATGTCTAAAGCGAGATAAGTTGTTGCAAGTTAATGTAACTTGGCCCTAGAGAAGCGACTGTGAGAGTTGTAATGCCGGCCTCAAGCAGGAATCAGTTTGGGCTGTGATTTTGTAATAAATGATCGTTATCTCCAACCAGTCTGATTTACTTACTCTTGAGGGTTATTTGCCGGCACTGGTTCAAATAACCTTGCAGTATATCATAGGCTTCTCATTAACAAATCCATGGAGTTACTTCGATTCGAAACTAACAGTTTATTGAAATTTTACTGAATGTTGAAAGGAGGCCTTCAATTTGGTTGTTTCTATAGTGGAATAAAAGAACCTTTGTTACGCTCTCAGGTAAACATTTTCTTCTTTTTTTTTGTAAACAGGCCCTTTGTGTAAGCAAAGGCATTCACTAGGCCAAATTTATGGATACCTTTGTTAAGCGCATGACATATCAAAAAGGACAAAATACCAATGTTTTGATAGACAAACTGCCTTAAACTTCCAAAGGATAAAAAAAAAACATTCCTGTTGAAATAATATCGTCTTGCCTGGAAAATAGCCTTTACGAAGCCCATTTCCTCGCAAACTACAGAAGCGTCTTCAAAAGACCAGCCGTCGTCACAAACTGTTCCCCAGGTTCCCTGGTGTTTAACCTCTACTCGCCCCAGACCTTCCTGAACTGAATCTGGTGGTTTGACAAGCCTGACGACATCTTCTGTAAGTGAAAAAGCATATACTTGATCTGTCAACAAATCCATAGGATCTGCGGCAAAATCGTAGCAAATCCTTTGGTGTGGTTAATGCGATAACACAAAAACCCTTTATAGTCAAGCTTATTTGCCTTTAATAATGGAAGGTCAGGTTCTTCCATTTTGCGGTTTTTAAAGACTACAGCAAGACTGTTATTACCAAGGCTTCAAATTTGCAACAGCAAGAAAGCATTTATTTATCAATACTTTCGCGCGCGGTACAATCCCTGGTCTTAAACTATCTTTAATTTTCTCAATACGGCTTTAACACCCCACCAACGAATTTAACAACAATTTGAAACTGTTGTTCAGTAGCCTAATGAATATGATGCAAGAATTGATGATGGGTAATGAGCTCACTTTGTGTTGTAATCTATTCTAAGGTTATACTCTCTTGCAATGCTAAAGTGCGAGTACTGATGATCATGACTAGACACTCCTTAGACACCATTCGTTTCCGTTCTCATAAAGCATGAGTAATTTTTTGGCTAGTCAAAGTTGTACGATTTGCTGCCACACCTTAATAGACAAAATTGACATCAGTAACAATTTGATCTCTCAAATATAACAATGATGAAGCCAGTAACCGCTATGCATAACTTACAGCAGATTTTAAAGCCAGCGTTGATTGATTTCCTCTAAGTGCTTTTTAAGTGTCCAATTGAAAGCAGTGCGAAACAAATTTTATTATTATCCGTTATTCAGCGAGAAAAGTTAAAATTTATGATTCATAGAAACGGTTGACAGATTGATTATACTACTGAAATTTGACAACCTTTATGTTTTTGTATATTTCTCTTCCTTCGCCTTTGACAAAGTCTCACGAAGATCGTAATTCAGTTGTTTCGTTTGGACGAAAAGAGACTAAGTCACGAAGCTTCTTCTTTTAATTTCAGCCTATATACCTGTGACTATTCTTTTCTCGTTAGTTAGAACTGTACACGCTAAAAAGGGGAGGATGGTCCATTTCTTTAGCTTCAGTTTAAAATTCGTTCACTCTTATCTCAAGCAACATTTGAACGTTTACATAACAATTGCGATTTGTACCCGGCCACTGTATACTGTTTTTGTGAAAATGAAGCTATAAAATTATACTCTTACCTGAAAATACGGCGGGGAAGAGCAAGAAAACCAAGGTGAAGCAATTCATGTTTCGAAGGGAGACATGAGAAGGAGATAAGATTACGGAAGATTCTTTTCCACTGAATAAATAAAAGTTTCTGTCAAGTGATGGAACCATCAGTTTGTGTGACAATAGTGCAGAACAGCTAATTGTCAAAGAGACATAATATTTATTTTTCATTAAATTGATCTTTTAATTTTGAAGCTTTGAATAGTTAACTGCTGCGTGAGGTTTTTGAGAACATTTTCCTGGATCCCCGGAACCCATTATCCAGAAGGAACAAGTAGGGGGACAAAATAGTTTTATTAAACTTCAGTAAACTTCTGAGTCATAATGCTTGCCACAAACATACAAAAAAACTTTGAGAGACCTTGAGAAAACTTTAATTTTGACCTGAGAAAACTTTTTTTGTCCGTGTTTTGAATTATTAATCGTTGAATTTGCTTCTGTAAAATACGACACAGGAAGGAAAATAGGTCAATACTGAGATTTATCAAAAGTTTTGAAATTGTTACCTTAAAAAATCCACATTTCATAGATACAGAAATTGTTTGTTTACTTTATTCTTGATTCATTTTCTTTAAGACGGTCTTTTTTGCTTTCCAATGAGATTAATTTGAACCACTGGGAGAGAAAATTAACAACATTGTTGTTCCTTATAGAATATTTTTAAGACCTGGAAAAATTGCATTGAAGAAATGTTAACAATTTCGCTAGCTAGCGATGAACCTGTAAACCGAAAAAGTTGAAAAGAAACAGCAAGAAAAAAAATTATATTTTATATTTTTTCAAACTTAAAAAATCTTCCAATTTTTGCCGGAACTTAACTTAGCTAAAGACAAACTGTTTATTCAATTTGACTTTACCCTGACATATAAGAATTTTATTCAAACAAATCTGTGTGTATTCGAAGGCCGCTGCAACGTTCTTAAATACTTGAAATTGGACATTAAGAATAATGCATTTAGCATAAAACCTGAACAAGGTTAAAATTACCATTTTAAGTTTGCTTGTATTTTGAATTGGCCTCGTTTTACTCGTAGGTTGTGAGACAACAGCCATGTTTGAGCACAAAATGAAGCTTTTCATTACTTTGTTTCTGGTTTCAGTGAAAGTGGTTATAGTCATGGGTGAGTAGTGCCTTTTCAATGGTAAAAATATAATTTTATTAGTCTGCGCTGTCTTCTCTTTCTTCTTCCTTTTTTCTGTTGTTCAGAAGGTGCATTTGATCAAGCAAACTAGAGTAAGGAATAGTAGGCCATATTTGCTCGCGAAACTGCTCATCAGCCATCGTTAAAATATAGAAAAATAGCAACTGGCTTAGAGGATTTCGATTTAATGTCGACAAAGTGTTTAGATATGGACCCACCTTGGAAAGTATGATAAATAGTAGGATTGTTGTAGAGGCTTGTTCAGCCAGTTTGGCTACATGTTAGGCAGGCGGCACGGGCCAATGACAATGCGCAAAGCAAAATAAACTGGCCTCCTAATGAAAAACTGGGGAAGCATATTTTTATGATCGGCTCATAGTTACGAACCTACCTTTACAACCGACATTACCTGTCTTGTGCAAGATAAACAACGATGCACCAATAATACTGCTTCATCAAGGAAACAGCTATATTGTATTTAACACTGATAAAAGATCAGGTTCAGTTTCGAGAGTAGAACGATAAAATGTGTAACCATGTTAAAATCTAGGTGGGGCCATGTATTTCGGGGTTCATTTTACACTCGATAACATTTATGAATGACTACAGGTCCAGTACCGGAACGGTCAAGCTTTTGCAAAGCCATATGAAATGAAGCGGCTAGGGACATCGAACCTAATAATTTGAAAAAAAAAGACAAAGATAAATTTGAAACCGTCTGTTTCTTGGCAGCCACCTTGACATCTAAGAATACAATAAGGAAACAAACTTCTTTTATTCTCTGAAAAATCTTGATACAATAACTTGACTTTCCCATGTGACTTGAAAACGTGTCGGCTTTCACTGATGAGGCTGGTAGCAAACACAGTTTGACAATGACAGCATCAGTTATCCTAGAAAACAAAAACTCACAATTAATCAGTGTCTGGTTTGACTGTGAAATAAGCTATAGTGAGCAGTTGATTAACAGACTGGTTATGATGGCATGGGTTTCATAGGACAAGGCCTTTAGACAGGTTATTTGTCAGCCACTTTCAAAGAGTTCAGGGAAGGGAAATTATTTTGAGACAAGATGGGAGGGGGGGGGGGGGGGGAAGTAAAAAACGGGGCGACTCCCGGTTTTTCAAAATTTTGGCCTCAAGCTGCCATTTTTTTTAATAAAATGGAAAATAAAAA